ACTAGTCATTTCCAGTTTTTAGCTGTAGCTCTCAAGCCGTCTCTTCGCGTCGTGCCTACTCCGGTAGATCATGCCCAACCTTCGAGATCGAAGTTCCGATCCGATATTGCCCCAGCCGCAATATTCTCCCTGTTCTCTCCATCTGTCCTACACACAGACGGTTACGCATACGGGAAGGTGGTGGACGGCGGCGTAGACGACGAAGGAATGATGCTCAAAGAAACACTTACTCTACCATCTGTGCGAAACTTTGCGCGGTACGCTGGTATCACAAGAACAACTTGGGGTATGATCCCGGAGTTAACGCCAGCCACGCCATCTTATTACGTGGAATTCGCCGGTTTACTAAGCCAGTCACCAAGCAATATCCCCTGTCGGTCAACCTCCTGAAAGCGATTGCCTCCAGTCTAAACCTCCAGGAAGCTCGCTCTGGGGTGGTATTCTGCTCGGCTACTTCTTCTTGCTTCGCAGATCCGAATATCTGTGTATCGGTAGCAAGCACGGCTATATCATCCGACTCCAAGATATTTCATTATACGACGAAGCTGGGCGTATCTGTAGGCCAAGGACAGCAACTAGAGTGGGTATCCGGCTGACTGGCGCGAAAAACAACCAATTCGGGCGCGAAGAGGTCAGATACCACGAAAAATCGGGTGACGCAACCATTTGCCCGGTCCTCGCAGCTCGGTGGATCTTCAAGGGTGCCAAGGAGTTTAACACGAGACCTGAGCAACCGGCACTCTCAATTAACAATAGCAGGGCAATTACGGCTAGGAAAGTCGCGAGCGTGATCAAGAGAGCCGAAGCACGCGGCATGGATTTTACTCGCTTCTCGACGCATTCAGTACGTATCAGCGGGGCCACGGCGCTACTCAACGCAGGAGCCGATAAACACGCCATCAAACTACTTGAAAGGTGGATGTCCAGCGCCTACGAAGATTACCCGGTATTAACAGCCCAAGGAACGTCAGGGATGTCGCGCCTAATGTGCTAAAACTACTCGCCGATCATCCTCCGCGGCCAATAAGAGCTGAATGCAATCTGGGGTGCCACCACTCCTCGCCCGCTACAGATACAAATACTACCTATTTCCCCACTCGACTGCGATAGTTGAAAAAATTTGGAAGGAAACCGGACATCATTAATAAAAACTTCGAGCAGAGGCAATGGTTTTACAATCAATTCATCAGGAAATAATGCAGGATAAGGCCAACCAGGCACGTCTGAGTGCTGCTCGCTTGTTTGGATACAGACTCGTAGAAAAAATGAGAAAACACTATTTTTTTTAACGAAATTCCAACTGGCAACGCGACCAAACAACTCCAAGGATAGACCCGTCCCCAGGCCATATCTATAGAGATGACTACCTCTAGAAGAACGCATCGCATCGGAATGGAGTCATGTGATTGGACAGTCACATGCTGCGATGGAAGCTAATAGTGAAGAGAAGATTAAATATTTTCTCGACGTACCGGATGACCAACGACTAACTAGTAGTGAAGCTCAATCAATGAATGAACCAAGCCTGGAAACTGAAGTCCTTCACTCAATTAATAAGCTGCATCAACATAAAGCTAGAAGAACAACTGGGCTTACCCATGAATTTTACAAATCTTATGCGGATTGGATAGTACCTACATTAACCAAGCTCTTCAATGAGATGCTGAGGGGTAATGGGGTACCTAAATCGTTTCTAGCAGCCACAGTAATTCCTTTAAAGAAAAATGGTGATTCTCCTGGTGACATGGACTACCGCCCAATTGATTTACTGAATACCACGTAAAACTGTTCGGTAGAGTGTTTACAGAGAGGTTACACAAGCTCTCCCACCTAAGTTAATAAGTCCAACTCAGCAAGGGTTTGTTAGAGACCGAAATATTGACAAAACAATCGCGATACTACGCAACATTTTACGTATGAATGGAGACGATCAAACTACGTCTTGGGCGGGCTCGCCCGCTGTACTCTGCTTGGACTTACGTAAAGCGATACGCTCGATAGGACCTCCTTGCAACAGGTACTAAGAGCGTATGGATTCTCTGAGGGCTTCCTCAAGTAATTCGTATTCTACATGATGGTACAACAGCGCAATTCATGGTAAATGGAAAAAGGTCATCAGAGTGGTCAGTGGAGTCAGGTATTAGGCAAGGATGTCCCTTGGCACCACGGCTCTTTATCTTAGCAGTAGCCACACTTGGCCAAGCGATCAACCGGCACCCGGGTATCACAGGAATCGCTGTAGCGGGATTAACAGATAGGAAACATAAAATTTTGGTGTTTGTCGACGACAGCACAGTGTTTATGGGCTCTGCCAGTGAAATCAACGCCGTGAAACGGGTGCTCGACGATTTCGGAGATGTATAGTGCAGCCTCACAAGAGTGTCATCATTGGTTTAAATACTTGTGCCACACCTTCGCGATGGGGAGGGTTTCCTGTCTTACAACTTGGAGATACAACTCATCAACTGGATTAGTGGGTGGGCAAAATAAATGCAACACATGAGAATTAGAATATACGCATTGAACGAATTCAGCGTAGACTGCGTATAGCAACCATTATTAGCAATTCAGTCATGCAACGAATTGTACTTTTTAATGTGGTGGTGCTTCCGTCGGTATTGTATACGCCGAAGCAGTACGTACCATCAAAATCCATCATCAAACGACTAGAAACCCTTCAAAACAAAGTTTGTGTGGTATGGGAAAGCACGTACAGAGCCAACAAAGCTCAAATTTAACCCGGCTCTCATTTTACCCCTATTTAACTTGGTGGCCTTGGACTACAAGATATTCGCTTTGCGTTTCGAGCAACCAGAGCGAACCTGGCAGAAAAATGGCTTCACGTAGAGCAAGATACCTACGCGGCAGCATACCATGATATGATACATCCTGGAAACCCAATGTCACAGCAATGCTGTGCGTTTCAACCTACTACTTTATCCATGATTCAGCTTTGATCACAAGAGAAACAAAACCTCCCAAGGATCAATGTCCAGCTGCTAAGTCAACTCAAGCTGTGGTGAGCACAATCTGAGCCGTTACTGCTAACCGAAGAACAAAAGCGGAGAATCATTCAATACCAAACAGCAGGACCGGCCATCAGCTCGTGCTATTGGATAAACGGAGAAACACTAAGATTTACAACTTCACAGAAATCAACGCGTAAGATACCTATCGACCTTGAAGAGTTCTTAAGAACTCCACATGGCATGACAACGCCAGTGTAATCGATTTCAATGGTAGACCACTACAGCGTAAACAATTTCCCGCTATTAGCTTAACTCGACGTGGGGATATTAAACTATTACTGGAGGCAAATCTTACTGCAGCTGGGAATTTGGAGTCTTAATCAAACCCCTCTTAACACAGCTGGATACAGAGCACGACAGCATCATCAAATAGTTTGGTGGTGCAGAAGTTTGCTCGTAAGTATTCCTTGGGCGATATGGCATACGGAATACGCTAGCGTTGTGCCGTTTACATCACCAGAGTTACTAATACGATTATGTTGGATAGCAGAAAAAAAGAATCACAACTAAGGGCCGTAATAACTGAACCGACAGCAATGAGAGCCGCGATGACTCTGGGTCGTGGCAAGAATGAATGGACCTCCGACATTGTAGAGTTTGCAGATGATTATAGCAAACTGAGGATTACCAGCGGTGGGAAGCTTTGGCAGGCTATGGAAGGAATTGCGTTTGAAGCTACACCTAAAACGGTCAAATACCCATGTACAGCTCCTATGCTGACAAAAGCAGCTAGATTGAGTGAAGTCGTGAGGAATTCTCGATCCAAGCTTATTAAGCGAAATCTCAGATATAACCTGACCAAGACTATTCAAACCCTTCAAAATCGACAAGAATCATCAGCATGGAGTGTAGGGGCGATAAACCAAACGCCAAAACAACTCTGGGATCGACAAGGACTAACAACAGGCTATCCAAATTAGGCATTCTATAGGATAACACTTGGAGCGCTACACCTTTTCCACAGCGGATGGTCACAAATACGGGACTTCCCAGTGTAGTGCCTGCTACGCATGAACAGTAAGATCCAGCCAGGTCCAGCTACACATTGAAGATTACGGATCATATGATCTTCCGCGTATCGACATCGCTGTATACAGCGTTCGACATCCGGCATGGCAGGATACCGTGTAACGCCGCAAGTGACGATAGCCTTCGTGTCCAACCATTGCAGCTAAAGACTATCTGTACCATGTAGACTAGCAGCATGTAGTACTTCGATGTAGGACCTCACTTTGCTATTTACTCAGCAATACAATAACGGCTAACTACCACGGAGCACCACCGGCTCCCTTCTCCGTGTCTTCGTTTCCTGACGAACACCACACTTGCAGATCCACTATTGAAACGAGAGAGCACATTATTTGGGGTTGCGACAAGGCACAACTACCATGGAAAAGGTGCCTAGAACACTGGCTTGATAGCGACACAACCCCAAGTGAGCGAAAGAGCCTGCTAACTCAGCTAGAAGCTCGGCAAGCACCTCCAGCAACACATTTCATGGCTACTGCACAGCAATGTGTTTCGCGATGGACGCGTAAACAGGACTACGCGATGTGCATACTATGGAAAATCTGGTGCAGTTACCCCTGTACTTCTTTGGCAGTTTCGCGGTCGCCACGTATTTGAAGATCTCCCCACCAATCCGGATGAGACTTCAGATATTATGCAGGGACGTATTAAGTAAACACAGTCGTATCTGCATGGAAGACTAATCCTAAAACGCGATTACAAGGCTACTTTCTTGAAAAATGCGACAAAATCTTAAATCGATCTCAGCATCGGAGAAAATGGAGACTTGGATGCTACCGTAAAAGTCGGCTCCAGTGCGACAAACGGTTACAGTGCGACATCACCAAATGTAGGGTCGACACCCCTTCTTCTAGAGTATGAAATGATTCTGTTGATTGGATCGCCAGTCAATCAAAT